ACATCAGGTAATTTTGGCCATATCATTTTATTAGATTTGTATTGATAAAGTGAAAGAAGGGAATTCTGGGAGGAAAATAGATAATTCTTCAGCTTCCTCCCATTTTGGACTTTTTAAATTTTAAAAATTTTTATCTGTTATTTTTGAGAAAGAGAGTGCAAGTGGGGGAGGGGCAGAGAGAGAAAGACACAATCAGAAACAGGCTCCAGGCTCTGAGCCGTCAGCACAGAATCCGATGCATGGCTTGAACCCACAAATCGTGAGATCATGACCCAGACCAAAGTCAGTCACTTAACCAACTGAGCCACCCAGGAGCCCCCCATTTGGACTTCTAAAGATGGATCACTGTTACTCAGTTTCATGAGAATGAATTGGTCATACTTAATAATATGGTCTTATTAATGAGGCATTACCCTAAGAATGAAAAAATAAGCACTCAAGACAGTCTTCTCTGCTGAATATAATTTAAACCTGAGTGATTTGTCAGTCAATTCAGAATCCTGCAGTGTTTTGGGAATGTTGTATTGAGCATCAGATTCCATTTTACCGTAGATGTAGGAAAACAACTAGTAAAGAGAGAGATTGCATGTTGACATTTTTCCAGATAAAATGGATCTTTATTAGAAATATGCTTCTGAAATCCCTTTTTAAAAAGTCACTCAAGACTCTTAAGAGACAAAACAGATGAACATAAAGGAAGGGAAACAAAAATAATATAAAAACTGGGAGGGGGACAAAACAGAAGAGACTCATAAATATGGAGAACAAACTGAGGGTTGCTGGAGGGGTTGTGGGAGGGGGGATGGGCTAAATGGGTAAGGGCACTAAGGAATCTACTCCTGAAATCATTGTTGCACTATATGCTAACTAATTTGGATGTAAATTTTAAAAAATAAAAAATAAAGTTAAAAAAAAAAAGTCACTCAAAGCATCATTTGACATGTAAGTCTATCAAGATGTTCTCATTCCTTATACAATTTCCATGATTGTCTGTTCCATCAAATGAAATAATTAAGAGCCCTGGACCAATTATGTCCACACTGGTAGAGTCCAGTGTTGGGAGAGTTTAACAGCCAGCTCCACATGCTAGGGCTCTCCAGGCTAATTACACTTGTATACACCATCATCAATCCACACTTCATCTTTGCCCCTGGTGATATACGGAAGATTTCTTCAAAGGACTCCTCAAAGCAGATCTGATTCTGTAGCTATTTTGAGAGAAATAACTCTTCTATGCTCATGAGGATGCCATTTCCAATACCATTTCTTTTTCATAGTCTTTGATCTTGGGTCCAGGAATCCTGGTTTCTGGTCCCTACTCTACCACGAATTGACATTTGGCTCTGAGCAAACCTTTTAACCTTGCAAAGCCTCCATATCTTTGTTTCTGAAATGGAAGTAGTAATTCCTGCTCTACCGGCCTCAGATTATTATAAAGATCCTGTGAGATAACACATGGGAATGTAAATTCATACATAAAATATGCAGTACGTGTATTTTTGCTAGTGGTGGTGGTCGTGTTGCTGCTGCTCTTTAATATGCTCTGTTTCTTTCCTTGGTAGATCTAGACCAGCCATATTCAGAAAGGCAACTTTTTGGGAGTCAGCTGTCATTGTACTGTAGATACGCAAGAGAAATCTCTTATTTGATGATTTGCCAGATAAAACAGCTGTTACTGTTTTATCAGCCTCTGAAGGCCAGTGGTTTCAGAGTAATAATAATGATAATCACTATCAATTTTTACTTTGTTCCAAGCCACTATCTTTTTTTTTTTTAAATCCTCACAATTACCTTGCAAAGTATTATTTAACATGCGAAGAAACTGAGGTTCAAAGAGTTATATCGTCTTGAACATCTCAAAGCTAGTAGGTGGTAGAGTAACAGTTCAAACAAGGTTTTGTGGGGTTTTAATTCTATGCTTCCCCATCGACCTCCCCCAGTTTCCCTCCCTTTTTGTGGGCTACATGAACCCATTGCTGAATTTTCAGAAATTTTATTCACAACTCCAGCAGATATCTGGAAGCAAACCTATCGTTTTCAGCATCAGTTAGCAGCAGTTAAGAGTGTATATTGTAAAGGGAAGCCTGACTGGTTCAGTTGGCAGAGTGTGCAACTCTTGATCTCTGGGTCGTGACTTTGAGCCCCATGTTGGGCATAGAGATTACTTAAAAATAGGGGCGCCTGGGTGGCGCAGTCGGTTAAGCGTCCGACTTCAGCCAGGTCACGATCTCGCGGTCCGTGAGTTCGAGCCCCGCGTCGGGCTCTGGGCTGATGGCTCAGAGCCTGGAGCCTGTTTCCGATTCTGTGTCTCCCTCTCTCTCTGCCCCTCCCCCGTTCATGCTCTGTCTCTCTCTGTCCCAAAAATAAATAAATGTTGAAAAAAAAAAAATTAAAAATAAATAAATAAACTTAAAAAAAAAAAAATGTGTATTGTGAAGCCAAACTAGGCAACCTGAGTTTCACATTTTGTACATCAGGCAAGTTACTTCCCTGTGTCTCAGTTTGTCAACCATAAAGTAAGAGTAATAATAGCACTATTCTTGTTACAAGGATTAAGTGAGTTAAGACTAGTAAAGCACTGGGGCGCCTAGGCGGCTCAGTCGGTTAAGTGTCCAACTTGGGCTCAGGTCATGAACTCACGGTCTGTGGGTTCAAGCCCCACATGGGGCTCTGTGCTGACAGCTCGGAGCCTGGAGCCTGCTTCCGATTCTGTGTCTCCCTCTCTCTCTGCCCCTCCCCTGCTTGCACTCTGTCTCTCTCTCTCAAAAATAAAATAAAAACATTAAAAAAAAAAAAAGCGCTAGTAAAGCACTTAGAACATAGTAAATACTTACTAAATGTTAATTAGATTAAAAAATTTCAATTCATGTGCAGCCATTCTTCTAACGTCTCACAATATTATGTGCTAAGCCTATTTTGGCTATTTTTTTCTCTTTATAGAATGGGTATATTAGAGCAGCCATTGATTATCGATCAGCCAGCATTCGATCTAGAAAAGGCAGTTTGATCAACAACACCTTAATCATTTGCTCTTAGTCCGCTAACATAAACTAGACAGGCCTGAAACTCATGAGCCATCATGGATGGTCTCATCAATTGTATCATTTGTTTTTGGTTACTTCAGTAAAATGATGATGATGATGATGATGCTGATGATATGGTTAACCAAAATATCGAAATGCTAATTTTGTATGGTTAGTGGTTATCAAGGATGAATTGCGATTTATTTTTAATACAAAGAGCTTTTATTCTAACCAGTCTTTGTTGGTATATTTACCCCCTACAGAAACCAGTGAAGGTGTATCCTTGCAACTGGGGAACACAAAAGATTTTATTATTTCATTTGACCTCAAGTTCTTGACAAATGGAAGTGTGTCCGTGGTTTTAGAGACCACAGAAAAGAATCAGCTCTTCACTGTACATTATGTCTCAAATACCCAGCTAATTGCTTTTAAAGAAAGAGACATATACTATGGCATTGGGCCTAGAACTTCATGGAGCACGGTCACCAGGGACCTGGTCACTGACCTCAGGAAAGGAGTGGGTCTTTCCAACACAAAAGCTGTCAAGCCAACCAAAATCATGCCCAAAAAGGTGGTTAGGTTGATTGCAAAAGGGAAAGGATTCCTTGACAACATTACCATCTCTACCACAGCCCACATGGCTGCATTCTTCGCTGCCAGCGATTGGCTGGTAAGGAACCAGGATGAGAAAGGTGGCTGGCCAATTATGGTGACCCGTAAGTTAGGGGAGGGGTTCAAGTCTTTAGAGCCAGGGTGGTACTCGGCCATGGCCCAAGGGCAAGCCATTTCTACCTTAGTCAGGGCCTATCTATTAACAAAAGACCATTTATTCCTCAGTTCAGCTTTAAGGGCAACAGCCCCTTACAAGTTTCTGTCAGAACAGCATGGAGTTAGGGCTGTGTTTATGAATAAACACGACTGGTATGAAGAATATCCCACCACACCTAGCTCTTTCGTTTTAAATGGCTTTATGTATTCTTTAATTGGGCTGTATGACTTAAAAGAAACTGCAGGGGAAAAACTCGGGAAAGAAGCGAGGTCCTTGTATGAGCGTGGTATGGAATCCCTTAAAGCCATGCTCCCCTTGTATGACACCGGGTCAGGAACCATCTATGACCTCCGCCACTTCATGCTTGGCATCGCCCCCAACCTGGCCCGCTGGGACTACCACACCACCCACATCAATCAGCTGCAGCTACTCAGCACCATCGATGAGTCCCCAATCTTCAAAGAGTTTGTCAAGAGGTGGAAAAGCTACCTTAAAGGCAGCAGGGCAAAGCACAACTAGAGCTCAGAACCAAAATCGTCTTTCAGCCTCTGTCGTACACAGCTATGGGCTCTACGTCAGCGGAGCATAGGCACGTTTTAAAAGGTGGTATGCTAGGTTTTTGTGGATTGCATCAAAGTGATAAATGAAACCAGTCGTCGGAGGTCATTGCATTCTGTGGGTTGGGCGTTTTGAAACCTCGGTGGCCCTTGGAGCAGAGAAGTGTTAGTCGATGGCTGAACAAAGATGTTTAACTTTGCCTTGCTCATCACCTTCTGCGGTTCCACAGATAGTCCCATCCCTCTGGGTTTGGGAAAGACGCTGGTAAGTGGCTGTTAGTGGCCAGCTGTCTAGTGCTTACCTGAAAACTTAGTATGGGCCTCTCTTAAAATGTGACTATCTATGTTGATGTTGGAAGCAAACTTTAAAAAATTATGTGCTGTAATACAGTAAGTGTGTACTCGCAGCCTGAATAGTGGACTGTGTGCAACTTTTTAAAATGATGTTTCTTTTCTATAGATTAATTTCTGGGCAAATTTCGTGTTGCGTTTGTTGAATTTGTTATATATGGAGAATATTTTGAATGTATGGTTTTCTTGAAACATGTAAATTAAAAACACAACCAGTGTTCAGGCTTCACAGTCATATAATGTAAGCACAACTAAAATGAAACTTGTTGACTGCACAAGAAATCACAAAAATGTTACTCTGTTTTATGAAACTCGATCTACAATCAGTAAAGATTTGATAATCAGTCTATCCCTCCCCACTCCCCCTGTGATGCTTTCTTTTTGTCACTGTCTAGAATTCTGTATTTCATTTCAGACTACACTTGAGAGTTTTATCTGTTTTGGGGGGACATTTGGGAAATTTTCTTTAAGGAGCTAGTCCCCTCCCGCTGCCCTTCCAGGGCTTTTTTTCCCCTCTGTAAAGAAACGTACTCTGTCAGATATTATACACAAGAACCATAGCAGGTTTTTTCCCTTCTTTTAAGTCATTCTTGGTTGTCAACTTTCCAGACCATTGACTCTGCACATCAGTGTTTTTCTTTTGCGATTTTAATTTTAAATTATTTCAGCTATTGGGTAGATGCTACCACATGCGCTGTACGTGTGTAACCAGACCTTTCTTTTGGTTTTATATCCCACCATACCTCACATAAATAGGTTCACAGCCCTCACACCCCGGGCAGTGTCTGCTAGAGGGCTTCCGGCATTGTCAATATCAAGCGAGGTTGATTTTGCTGTTTTTGTTTTAGTGTGTGACGAACACCAAATCACTACTGTAACTTACACAGATTGAAATACGAGACCCCACACATTCAGGAGACTGAGTCTGACAAACACATTGCAATTTGTCTGTGACCTGTATTAAATGCACATCAAGAGCCACGAGGGCACTTGCCCACATACTGCATCTTAAATTGAACTCAGCCTACCAACACAACTTAGAAGTCAGAAAATGTATACATGTGTATGAGTGTAATATAAAGGCAAAGTATATATATTAGTGGCAAAGGGAGCAGGAGCCGAGAAAACAATATAGATCTACACTGAAGACGATATTACGGAAAAGTAAGCTTCAACTCCCAAGTTATGTGGCCACAACTCTATTTTGCCCACAACAGAAGAGCTGCGGGTTATTCAGTTTCCCCCCTAGCATTTGACTTTTGTAGTTCTACATCAGATGTCTCAACAAAAATATCTGGACTCCTCTTTTTTTTTCTTTTTTTTTTATTTCAGTGCTCAAAAAATAAACTTTCTCCAATCTGGAAACCCTTTTTACTTCATCTTCTCTGTTATTATCTAGAGCGGTCCAGACTTCTGCCTTGTGTTTGCATACTGGTACTTCAGACTAAGGGAATCAGCAAAAACAGCATGGTATGCTTCCGTGACAGATACCAGTGCCTTAACGATGTGGCTGTCCTTTTCCACTGAAAAAGGAAAGACATTTTGATCTAGAAATGGCATTGCTGTTTCATTGCTGTTGGTTTCACACTGCCTTCCACGTTGCAACAGCAACTTGATTTTTCTCGTGATCCCAGAATTTTCTAAGAGGATGAGTTGAACCTGCGACAGCCCCGCCAGCATATACCGGTGGTTCTCAAACTTCAGGGTGCCTCAGCATCACCTGGGAGCTTCCTGAAATTCAGATGCCGGTTACTCACTAAATCTGCCCGTGAAGCATGAGAATCTGCATTTTTGACAAGCATTCGGATAATTCTCATGCAGGTGATCTGCGGGGCAGACGTGGAGGAATACTGCCCAAGACCATCGATTGCGTTTTTGTTCCGAAACACCTACAGAGTTTTCTAGGGTTTTAAACCATGTGAAATGTTTACTTGTTCTCAGCTTAGAAGAATGGGGAAGGTATTTTAGTTTTGTTTTGTTTCTTTTGATTTGTCTTTGTTTCAAGATAATGGGTCTTTGTTTTTTGCATTCATCTTGAGTTAGCTCTGATGTTAAATTAAATCTATTGCCACTTCAGTTGTAAAACCAGCCAAAAGTTTCCAGATAAAGGTCAAGTTTGGCCCTTTAGGATTATTGTACATAAAGGCTTCATCCAAAAACCACCCAGTGTCTGTGAGCAAATACAGAAGTGACACACAAGCACAACTTTCCAGATGTGGCAGAGGCCTTTTCTTTGTCGGTGTGCAAACTTTCACTGAAAGCTGCTATTTTCATCCTTGTTGTAATTGTTTTTCTTGTTTCTCCTCCATTGTCCATGTGGGTTAGATGCCATGTGTTAAATATGCAATAAAGTGTTTACAGGACGCCCTTCTGAAGGGCGGTCCTTTGTAAAGCTGTACAGACTTGGCAATTTAAGCACAATGTGCACATGTTAGTTTTCTATACAGCAAAACTGGATTTTTTGCAGATGGAAAGGTATTTTGTTTCTATACAAAGTAAATGGATTGTTTGTGCTTAATGTAAAGCTGCTTTATAAAATTGTAAAATAAAGTTTTTATCTTAAAAGGAATATCTCTGGAGATTTCTTCCTTCTCTAATCTAAGATTTTTTGAGCCCAGCAAGTGGATTTCTGAGGATTTTCTGTTCAACCGGTGACAACTAGGCAGTAAATATTCATCAGAGGTGTATCAGGCCCTTTAAGACAAAGTGGGGAAGGGCCTGTCCCGTGGGTCTTACCCCTGGGAGGTTTGTTGTACAGGGGGACACAGTGTCCACAGAACAGTTTCAGAAAAGTAAACTGCCAGACTCTGTGGTTGGTCAGGAAAGGTGTTGCGGAGGAGACAGCGCCTCCCTGGGGGCTTCAGTTCCCGGTGCCGAGTCGAAGAAGAGGAAAGGGCAATGAGCAAAATCAGGGTGCCCTTTGCCATGCTGATTCAGGCTGGCAACCAATTTCGTCTGACTTAGATTTATTTGAAAGTTTGTCCTTCCTGTATTTTCTGTCCTTGCCTCTTCTCCAGAACAATAAGCAGTATTGAATCTCCGCCCCTCCCTTCTTCTCAGTAATGATATACCCTCCCCAATACATGTAAAACCAGAGACCAGTCCGGGTTTATGTTGTGTTTCCCTGCACATTATCTTTTGGGTTAGACACGTTGCACACCGTTTGTATGACGGAGTATACCGGTGGATCCCCAAGCAACTTCTCTAGCTGATGGGTGCACAGGCTACTACTCCACATCCTTGGCATCTCTTTTTTCTCTCTCTCATCCTCAGTTGGGAGACAGCCACGGGTTGCAAGCAGTTCTTGGTCTGGATGAGGGCTCAGGCTGCTCTTGCTTTGATTTGCTATTTAGAGCCAAACTGTTAACCCATCGGCCATTCTGCTTTAGCACACTAAACCTCTTCTGTTCGCCTCCCCCATTGCCCTTGAGCGGGAACAGACCCTCCAAGCCCCAGAGGACTTATTCCACAGTCTGAGGAGCTCGTGTGACCTGAGAATGCCTCCTTCTCCGCGGGACCCTGCCAGCCACTGTGCCACGTGACCCTGCTGCCTCGAGCCAGGACTGTGAGACCAGGGGTGAGTCCCTCAAGCTGGGCCCATGAATGTCTGCCCCGGGAATCCGAAATTGGGATGGATTAGAAAACCGAAGTAGATACATCGTGAAACACAGAGATGAGAACAGAATCTTGTCAGTGCTTCGGGCCCTGGATGCAGTGCGTTTCTGGGGCCCGCTGCGTTTCTCCAGTTCCATGAGATACCGCTGTCTCCTCAGGATGCGTTCCTAATGTGTGCTTGCTTAGGTTGGCCAGATTTGACCTCTGTTACCTAGAATAACAAGCCCTAGTTAATAACATAGTGTCTGCATTACAGAGAAATGTATAATGTAAATTCTACATACATTTCCCCCCAGTCCGGACCACTGTGGTTGCTAGGTTTGCCATAACAAAATACCACAGACTTAGTGGCTTAGGCAACAGAAATTTCTTTTCTCACAACTCTGGAGGCTAAAAGTTCAAAATTAAGGTGTCGATAGGTTTGGTTTCTTCTGAGGCCTCTTTCCTTGGCTTGTAGATGGCTGCCTTGCTGTGTCCCTACCTGGTCACCCCCCTGTGTGTTGTCTGTGTCCTATTCTTATAAGGACACCAGTCGTAGTGAATTAGGGCCCCATTCATATGACCTCTTTACCTTAATTACCTTTTTTAAAGGTCTTATCTCCAAACGCAGTCACAATCTGAAGTCCTAGGCGTTCAGCGTGGATTTGGTGGGGAGAGGGGGACACAATCAGCTCATAAAAACCACTCTTCACTCTTTAATTTTAATGTTTATTTTTGAGAGAGAGAGAGAGAGAGAGAGAGTGAGTGCAAGCAGCGGAGGGGCAGAGAGAGAGAGGCAGACACAGAATCTGAACCAGGATCCAGGCTCCCAGCTGTCAACAGCCTGATGCGGGGCTCAAACCCACGACCGCGAGATCATGATCTGAGTTGACGTCAGGATGCTTAACTGACTGAGCCACCCAGGCTCCCCTTACTACTTTTTACTCTTCAGTGCAGAGAAACTGAACTAGCCAGGGGTGCCATTTAGTTAGTTGATAACCAGCTTAAAACCCAAAA